CTCATTGTTTTCTTCCTATTGTTCTCTGCTTTGTCTCTTGCCTCTCTGACTAATACCTCTATGCCTCATTTTCCTCATCTATCAAATGGGGATGACAGATTACAGACTCTTAGAAGTCTAAAGAACTATGCTATAAGAGATACTTATCATAAAGGAGGTAATTTGGTACCATGAAGTTAGAGGATATGGCTTCAGATGCCACCTCTGTTGCTTTCTATTTGTGAGGTCTGAGGTCAAGTTAACACCCGATTTCCTCTTCAGTAAAATGAAAGGATTGAGCTAGACAGCCTCCGAGGTCTGGTTCTAGTTCACATGGTCACAGAAGGTAACGGGCACATAGTGGGCATGTAATTAATAAAAACAGAATAGAATGGTGATATTTATGCATGGCCCCATGAAGAGTGATTTAGAGAGACTGCACAGCCAGGTTAAACAGGCAGCACACAGTGATGAAAACGTTTAAATGTTCCCACATGGAATGTGATCAGAGCTCTGAAAACAAGTATATCTCCAAGCCTTTTCCTCTTCCTGTCAACTCCAGGGTAGATACACTCAAAGAGAGACCCTTGGAAGGGATTTTGGAGACCATTTAATCAAACTGCTTTGTAGCATTAAAGGATTCAAGCCGCAGAGACCATCCAGGCCAAGTCAATTTAATTTGCAGATGAAAAAATTAAGACACCAAGAAGTTAAGGTGACTTTCCCAACATCACATAGCTGAACCATGACGAAGCAAAGAGGGGGAAGGGAACAATCATTTATTAAGCCCCTACTAAGTGTCAGGCATGGGGTTAGATATTTTACACATATTATCTCACTTGATCCTCACTACAACTCTGAGAGGTAGATGTTATTATTATCTCCATTTTACAGTTGAGGAAACTGAGGCAGGCAGATTAAATTAAGCTAAATTAGATTAAATGACTTGCCCAAGGTCACACAGCTAGGAAACCTCTGATGCTGAACATTAATTCAGGTCTTCATGACTCCAGGCCCAATACTCTATCCAGTGGGCCACCTAGCTGCCTGTAGAGTAGAATCTGAGCACGCTGAAAGCAAATTCTGTGATCTTTCCATGATAGCTACATTCTTTGAGGTTGTACTTCAGTGAAGCTAGCAACCTATATGGTACCAAATGACAAAGATGATAGGTAGGGCAGTAGAGTAGATGGCATGCTTAGTCGAGAAAGCAGAGAGACTAGGGTACAAATACTGCCTCTGAGACTTATTGAGCAACCCTAGGCAAGATAACAACTGCGCTGAACCTCAGTTTTCTCACATGGGGATGATTATACCTGTAGTATTCATCCCAGTGTTGTTGTGAGGCTCAAATGAGAAGATGAATGTAAAGCACTCTGCAGAGTTTAAATAAATGTCAACTTGTTGTTTAGAGTGAATACGTTTATTATGAGTAGCATGACCAGGAAGGGTAGCAGACCTAATTGTGAAGCAGGTAAAGAGGGATGCTTCTCCATCTCTACCCTAACCAAGGGAGTGAATGAATAAATGAGACTTGGCACTGTAGCTCTGAAAAGCTTCCAGTCCCAACCCTATAGCACTCATTTCCTGAGAACCACATCCAAGTATAAGAAAAAGAAGAGGGACAATGTTGTCCATGTGTGATTTACATAAGTATAAATAATAGGGACATTCTCAGGCAGTTTCAAGTGGAGTTGAACAAGAATTTATTGAGCACTAACCATGTGCCAGGAACTATGCTATGTGCTGGGAATACAGTGACAAAAGGTCAACATATCTTTATTTTTCTCTTTTCCTTCTCATTATCAACTATCATCGGTCCAAATTCTCTTCTTCAGAAGCATACAGAGAGTGAGGGGTATTCAGCCTTGGGCTGAAGAGATGGGGTGAACAGTAACCTGGATTATTTTTATTTAATTGAATCACAGAATCATAGACCAAATAAAATCTCTCAATTACTCTGAGTAGGCAGGAAACAATCCATGCCACAAATATAATCAAAAGCATGTAAATTAGGTGCCAAATTCAGAGGATTTATTAAAATTTAATTTGCCAAATATTGTCCAGCTTTATAATAATCTATCTGTGTAATTGTCTAAATTAGCCCAAGAGCCAGTGATTTCAAAAATTCCCCTACTCACAGTATTATTCCTTTAACCCCCATCACCAGTCCAGCTTTGTGCTTCTATCATGAGACTGCTGGATTCATTGCTCAGAAATATGGTCTCCTTCATCCTTAGCACTGCAGAGGGCAGGCAATATGAGCTTCCCTCATCCTCCTTCAGGAAAGCTGAGAAAGGATCAGGAAATGGAATCATCTCTGTCCCTTTGCTAATGCGTTTCATAGAGGAAACTCTATCAGGAAGACTCTGCAGAGTATCCTTCTCACCTCATTTTTCTGAAATGCTCCAGAATGATTTTATTTATGTTTAACCTTCTCATTGTGTAGGCAAGAACAACTGGGTTAACCACCTGCTGGAAAATTAATTGCTCCTCCTTCCTTTGTTAAAAATACTGAAATAACACGGCAGTTTGTAATACCTGAGAAGTAGCTGTTTCCAGCGTGGGATAGCATCACTGAGCAGAGACGGAAGGCTCATTAGGCTGAGGAAAAGGGCTTGGTCTGGATGGAAAGACAAAGACCCCCTGGAGGGCCAGGGCCCTTTTTGGTCTAAGAAGTCAGGGTCTTTAGGAGAGCAGGTGGGCAAGCAAAAGGAACAGAAGGGAGCAGAGTCCCTATTTAGAAAAGGAGAACTGGAACATACAGGAGGTTTTGTCCCTGGTTGTAATAAGCAAAAAAGAGAAAGAGTAAAAAGATGGGAAATTTGGGAAGGATAGTACTGGATGTAAAGCATCTGTTGTCAGGTGACATATTTGTTAATTGATTGATTTCAATGGTTGATTTTATTGCCTTTATTTTAATGTTTAGTTCCTACTACCCAACTGTAGGGAATCAGACCACTTAAACTTGAAGCTCTTTCTAGTTCCAATGACTAGGTTGTACCTCAAATCAAGTTAAGACTGCAAGCACTAAGCAAATGTCTACTTATAGCAACCAGTTTGGGAGAGAAAAAAAGCTGTATTCGGGTTTTTTTTTAAATGCCAATTCTTTCTGAGTCTTTCTGGGATGTATACAGTATGTCTTGGTAAAGGATATATCCCCTGAGGAAGGAGAGATCTCTGCCTATTTAAAAAAAAATGGTTCAGAGAGCCAAGGCTATCTCTGCTTTGTTTGTGGGTGGCCTGACGTTAACAAGTTCTTTTCAGTTTCTTTTCCTGCATTTTACTGACAGGGGCACTAGATCCTTATTAAGCAGGCCTTCTAGTCTCAATGTAGTGGAAAGACCACTGCATTTGGAATTGGTGGACATGATTTCAAAACCTGCCTTTGATATTACTACCTGTATGACCTTCTCAAATCAACCTCTCTAGGCTTCCAATTCCTAAACTGTACAAGTAAAGAGAATGGTCTACATGAATTCTAAGGGTCCTTTCTAGCTTTAGGTTTTATGATAAATTTCCCTAATCCTAGGCCTCTATTCTTCTTACCTTACTCTAAAATTTAAGCTATCTGAAAGGCCACCAGCAAATGCCATATTGATCTCTCTTACTGCACCAGCGACTGACTGCCCACAGTCTCTGTGAGTTAGGCCTTAGAGATGTCAGATTAAAAAAAAAAAAAGAGGGAAGGGGACAATTAAATCTGACCATATCTGCTGTGGTGGCCCACATATCTCCAACTCTACCTAAGGCTTATCTCTGACAATCACATGGGCTTAAAAGGTAGAAAAAAGATTTCAAAGTGGCCTGTTTGTTATTTAATCTGGTCGCCATCACTGCAGCATCTGGGAGCCGCACCCAGAGCAGGGGAGAGCAGCCAACCCTACTCAGGCAACCACCACCCACCCCTTCACCGTAGCCCCTCGGCCTTCTACAGGAATCCTCTCCCCCTTCCCCACCCCCCCCACCCCCCCAGCCCTTTGGTTATAGGTTCTCAAAAGATATCTGCGGGGCGGGGAACCCTACTGGGGCTGGTGGGGGAGGGTGGGGAAGGGATGCTTAGGGATATGCTCCAGAGGGACTTGAAAGTTGCTGCGGTAATTTCACTGAGAATGAGAAGAAACGTCAGATCAGAGGAAGAAGGCCCCTCTAGGTTACCCAGGGAGTGAAGGAAACGCAATCCCTACATCTTCCTTCATCAGCCTCCTTGCTGCTCAGTAGCTGGAGGCCAAAGCACCTCCTTCCCCACCACTGAACACACCCGAGGAGCCTAGGGTGGTCCCCATTGCAGATATGGACATAGGGATGAGATTTAAGCACGTCTCCAAAGTGAGTTTCTAAGGTTCAGGTATAGCTTAGTCTGTCCTAGGGGTTTGAAGTAGGAACACCTAATCAGCACTGTCTCCGCAGTAGGCAACGAGTGGGCTACCCGCTGTACCCTCCCTCCATCCTGGCTCTTACTCTCCCACTGGCCTCTCCAGCCTGTGCTATCTGGGGCCGTCGCGGCCGGGTGGAGATTCCCATATGGATTTCAGTGTGCATTCACCTCCCCAACTCCGCGAACCCTTTTAGCTCCCGGGCCCAACGACTGAGGCCGCATCGCCTCCCCGACATACACGCACACATACTGGACAGGCCCGCGGCGTGAAGGCTTTCTTTACCTTCTTTCCCAGGCCGGGTGGGGTACAGCACGCGCAGCTGATCCAGCTGCAGCTGCTGCTTGCCGCCGCCCTCCATTCATTTAAAAAAAAAAAAAACCAACAATCATTCCTCTTTGTAAGGCGCGACAGCCCGGTAAGGAGCGACAGCCCCCAGCAACGACGGGTTAAGTTCCTTTCCGGCCCCCCATTCATAAAAAAGGGGGGAGGGGGAGTGTAAGGAAGCAGCGCATGCGCCTAGAGGGTCTCTTGTGCCCACCCATTCATAGAATTGGGGAAGGCACGCATGCGCAGAGAGGCCCCCTTCCCTCCCATTCATAAAAAAGCCATTTTCCCAGGCAGTAGTTGCAACACCAAGGCAGAGCGGGGAAAGCTGACAGCGCTGTGCAGGCGTTTCAGGTCGCCGGGATCAATGCTGTTTCATCTGGCTGGGGTTTGCAAGGACAGCCACTGACTTGTTTGGAATTTAGGATTAAGTACCTATGGAGAAATGCTCCTGACTGGATTACTTAAAGTAAGTAGCTGATTTAAGGCTCTTAGATCCCACTTCTTCCTCCAGAAAATTTGATCTTGAAGGCCATTTCCTTCCTCCAAAAGGGGCAAAGTTGCTCCCTTTTTGGTGCATGTCCCTATAAACTTTCTGTCCCTGCGCCTTCGCAGACGGCAGTGAGGCAGCTGCGAGGAACTCCCGGTCCCGCAGTCTCCCATACAAGCCCGTCACCGGGCTCTGGGTGATCACAGCAACGGGATGCGCTGTTTCAGACGGGAGCATTTCCAGCCTTTACTCTGTGTTAGGATCTCCGAGTCCCTATAACTCCCCCTCTGGCTTCCCCGCTTACCTTCTCCCTGCACTCACCCGCCTCGGACGCAGGGAGGGAGCATCTGCCCCTAGCCGGGCAGGGGCAAAGGAACCGCCTCCCGGGGCTCTGGGGGTGCCCTATAGATAGGTCTGCTCGCCCGCCCCGTCGCCCTTTGCCGAAGGGGACCTCCTCGCCCTAACTTTCCTTCCCCAACCGCAGTGGCCTAAGCACTCGACGTAGATTTTTTCCCTTCTCCTTAGGATCCCTGATATGATCCCTTTCCTTCCTCCTGGGTGGGTCTCGTCGGAGCTTAGGGCTCCCAAGGTGTCTCCCTCCTGGGGCACTTTTGATCTCGGCTCCTTGGCGTGTAAGATCTTTACTGTTTGACCTTTGCTCCTTAGCATTTTATTCTGTGCAACTGTTTCGCAGTCGCCTTTTTTTCTTGGGGCTGTGCAGGACTCCGGTTTCCTCGGGCCCCATCCCCACCCTTCTCTAGACTCTGGTCTCCTTGCTTTGCCCCTGGGATTCTCTTTGGGTTTTGAGGGGTGGGGTGGGGGGCAATGCTGTAAAGGGGGTGGGGAGGGAAGTGGGTTTATATAATGCCGAGATGGAGAAATCCAGAGAGGAAACAGTTGCATGCGTAGCAAAGATAAGGCTTTTTTTTTTCTCCTGCTTTCTTGGTGGTACCAGTCTTGACGTCACCGGGGAAAGAAAGGGATAGAGACCTTACATTCTGAAAATTCATAGTCGACCAGGAACTGGGAAACCAAGAGAAGGGCTTGGAGGTGAAGCTCGGGAGACCGGCTTAGGCAGTTCTAGCCGGTGAAGAAATCCCGGCCGCATCACTAGGGAAGGGGTTTCCATGTCTCCTTCTTCTTTCCCATGCCGACCATCAAAAGCATTTAGACAGTAGCTTCTGTTGTGCAAGAGATTTCTCAATTCTCTTTAGCTTGGGAAGGGGTGGGGAGGGAGGTAAGGAGAAAAAGATCTTGAGGAGAAGAAAATTGTTGATTTTCCTGGCCCAGGTGTTGAGGAGAGGCGAGAGAGAGCTTGGTTGGACGTGCCCGAATCTCGCTTGAGGTGAGTTGGAAAGAAAGAAATGCAGTACGTGGAAGGGCTGCTTCCATTTCACCTATATCACGGCTGATTTGGGGGGGGGGGGGAGAAATCTGTGTTTTCATAGATGGCTTGAGTTAAGCCGTGGAGTCGCAGTCTAGTGCACCAGATCTCTCATGAATTCTCTAGCCCATTAGGTGCCCCCCACCCACGCCTGGAAATAGAGATGTTCGACGGGTAGAGGCGCTGATGACATATTTGATGCTTTTCTGGAAGCTTTACTACATGTTAAGCGGGGCTGACAGGTGATGTTAAGAGAAGTCCTGCAGTACTGTTAAGAAATGTGAAGCTGGTTTTTAGGAAGCTGTGAGGCATTCCTCCTCCACCCTACCCCACCTCCCCCCATCCCAGTGCCTGGGCCCTGGGGATTAGTTAAGGATCTTCTCTCCTTTCTTCTACTAGATTAACAGCAAATTAAAGGCTAGCTGGTGGAAAGGATATGGAACTGCTGGGTCAGTTGTGAAATGTTGGGTTATCAACCTCTGGTAAGATGATATGGACTGAAGGCCTTCTCCAGCATTGCAGCAGTAGATTTCACAATATTTAGAGTTCTCTGAATCTTCACCCAAGTAGAGCATCAAACATCCGGAGTTCTCAGGTTTTTTTTTTTAACTTTTCATTTTTTTTAGGCAGAGGGTAAAGAGAGGGAGGGTTGACATTTGGCTCTCCAGGGAAAAGAATAGAGAAAATATTTAGAAGTGTCTAATGGGAAATAGCATTTCCTTTCTTTCCCAACCCCCTAGAGAGTTTAATCCATTTTCCCTCTTTGACCATACAGAGCAGAACTTTACTGAAAAGCTGAGAACCATGATAGGGTCAAGGAGGATGGTCTTTTTGGTACTAGATTTGGGAAATTTACCCAGCCTATCTGACCAATATTCTTTCTAGGGGGGAGTTTTTGTAAGAAACCCAGTTCTTTCCTTACCAATTTGTAAACTCTAGTATCATTCTCCCTTTCAGATAGCACTGACCTAGTCTTTTCCCTGTTTTCCCCACATGAAATTGTAGCATCTCTAGAGATAAGTAAAAAGGCTGGGGGGGAGTGTCATAAATAATAATAATAATGATAACTGACACTTCTGTTTTAAGCACTTTATGCCCCCAATCGATTGAGCTTCACCATAACCCTTCAAAGTAGATGGTGCAAGTACTTTTATCTCCATTTTACAGATGGGAAAACTGTGACTGAGAAATTGACTGACTTGCCCATGGTCACATAACTATCAAACCTTAAAGAATCAAAGATTGAGAGCTGGAAAGGATCTCAGAGGTCATCCACCCCAACCTCTCATTTTACAGATGAGGAAATGAGACTTAGGGAGTTTTAAGTGACTCGTCCAAGATCACACGTAGGAAGGGTCAGAGGTGGGATCTGAACCCAGGTCCTTTGACTCCAGAGCTGGTACCATACCTCACTGCCTCTCTGTATTTAAAATCAATTGATAATATATCCTTTTAATCCCAGCTGGTTTGAAGGAAGCTGTAAAAGCTAGTATTTGAGATGCTAAGACATTCCTTTTGACTGCACCTTCCTCTTGGTATAGCTGCCCAAGAAGCAAATCTGTAGTTCTTCCCACAGCTGAATTTAGGTTCCCATTTCTTTTAACACCACTCCACTAGATTTTTATCATTGTTTAAGCTAAGAGATTCACCTGATTTTAATGAATGATGAATCAAAAATGCCTTTCACTGTTTATGCCCAGCTCCTACCCAGGAAGGTGACCTTCTCTTCTTGAATGAATAAACTCCTTGAGAGCAGGGATTGTTTCGTTGTCTTTGTAATCTCCCTCCCCCCTTCATCTAACACAGGGCCTGGCACATAGTAATAATAAATGCTGATTGATTAGTTGATTGATTGATTGTTGTAGCACCTAAGGCTATCTATCCAGTGTCTGTATCTGAAGGTTGCCTTCATTACTTTTTCTCCTGATCCTTGTTACTCAAGGGAGATTTATTGCCCCTGAATCTAGGTTCCTATCCCCATCTGAGCAAGCAACAAGTGGCAACCTCTTTGTGGGGTCTCTGCTGAGCTGGCCAGTGTTTTGGCCTCAGACCACCTTGGCTTTGAATCCCATGGGCACATTGGGAAGGCTGATCCCCAGTGAAGAGAGAGAAAAAGGATTTGGGGTACTAATTTGGAAGGGGGGAGGTGACTCTTGGTACTGTGTCTTGTAAGTGGGAATAAATCTCATAAATAATCTTGGTGATCCAGTACAGATCTGTCTTTTAGAGGAGTTTTGACCTAAGTGGAAAATAATACATATGAAGCACTTTGCAAACCTTAACTCTCTGTATAGTATTAGCTGTTATTATTCTTACCACAACAATGGAGGTTGCTCAAGAAGCTATTCAGAGCCTTTCTTATAGCTCAATCTACTTGTCATTGATTGAGGACAAGCCTCTAGTGAAGTACAGAAGTAGGAAATGATGGAATAGCTTTATTAGTCCTTAGTACTGACTTGGGAAGAAGACAGAGCAGTTTACATGCTAACAGACCCTTAATTTTTAGGTCTTAATTTCCCAATTTGCAAAATGGGGAGACTATTACTCCTTGGAGATGATAAGGGATTCTGCCAACCCCCTGGGGAGGACTGGGAAATACTCAGTGTCCTTCTTATTCCCCAGAACGGCAAAGCTTCTGGCTTCTATCATTCTATAAGAGAAGGGAGTTGTTTCGTGGTAGCTCTGGGACCTCGGGGTGTACTCCATCAGGGCAGAGGAGAGCAGAGCAAAAGAAGGTAGAGATAGATGGAGAAGCTTAAGATACCCGCATTACGTAGTCATTCTCACAATTGCTGTTCCCATTTATAGAAGACATAAGGAGGTATAAAAAATGATTTCTGGAAAGTAAGAGAAAGAAGGCTGACTGGCTTTGATGTCAGGAAGACCCGAATTCAAGTCCTGTCCGACATACAGCTCTGAAACGTTAGGGCAAGTCAATTAACCTGGTGTTCCAGACAACTCTATAAGTATGTTTCAAATCGAGTTTGCTATTAGGCAGCAGAGAAGGGAGTCCCTACCAGGGTGAAATCATAGGTCCACACTATTCATATTTCACTTTGGCATCCAGGCTTACAGAGACATTGGGGAAGCAGACCAGAATAGCTAGTTCTTGAAGTCCAGTTTTAAGGGGGATTCTCAGTTCTCATTGTTGGAAAAGCCCTAGTTTAGGTTGATCTTCCTTGGACCTCCCCCCCCCCAGAATTGGCTTTTTTTGGCTACCTTTTAGTCATATGATATTCCTTTCTCAGTAGTATTCTGATCATCTGTGTATCAGTGGGGTGAGAGGTAAAAATGAAGAAAATTCTTTAGGTTTCTCCCTCATCCCCTTGTCTAAAGGATGAGTCTTTGCTCTTTGATGGAAGAAGACACTAAACCTTCTAAATCCCTAGCTTGAGCCAATGTTGCCCTGCATGCATTAGGTGCTTATATATGTTTGAATCAAATGAATGTTAAGAAAATAACCTTCAGGGCTGGTATAATAAAACTTGAAATTGATGAGCAGATTATAGTCTTGTATATTCGGAACTCATTTAAATAACATGCTTGAAGTCCTTCTGGCTCTTTGCTGGGCAATGTGCGGTTTCAGAACTTTGTCATTCTTTCAACTAATTAATTGAAAGCCCAGATGAATTTGGAGTGAATTGGGAAGGGGAAAGTCTTCTTATCTTCCTATGGGAGAGTTGGCTATTGGAAAAAAAGTATTCTTGTGATCCCTAGTTTATATCTTCTAACAGGTGACTCTTCTTTGTGGGTGGGTGGTAGGGAGGAAAGTCCATGGTTTATGTTCTTAGAGATGGAAGATAGGGTTGGGGGTATCTAGTTCAATGCCTACCAGAGGCTGGATACCCCTTTAAATATCCCCTAACAAGAGGTCATCCATCCTTCACTTGAAGATCTCTAGTGACAAGAAACTTATTACCTCCAGACTCAAGTGGCTTCTTTCTCAGTTACAGCAGAGTAATCCAATTTTCCACCCCATACAGAACAGAAGATCTTAGATTTAGAGTTGGAAACAATAGTAGAGGTCATCTAATCCACCGCCTTCATTTTACAGATAAAACTAGGCAGCTAGGTGGCATAGTGGATGGAGCATTCAGCTCAGGAGTCTGAAAGATATAAGTCAGTGCTGCCTCAGGCAGCCTCTGGTACACTAGACACCTTACCTTGTTCTCAGCCTCAATTTCCTTACCTATAAAATGGTGTTTCTAGCCTCTACCTCAAAGAGTCATTGTGAAGATCAAATGAGAGGTAATGATAATAGCTCTAGCATTTATATAATTCTTTGCGGTTTAGCAAGCACTTTACATTTGTCCTCTCATTTGATTCTCACCACAACTCTGTGAGATAGAGGTTATTATTCTCATTTTACCATAAGGAAAACTGAGGTTCAGAGAGGTTGTGACTTACCCAGGGTCGGAAGTGTTTCAGGCAGGTTTTTTTTACTCCAAATCCAACATTACCTACTGTATCACCATCTAGCTGTCTCTAATAAATGGAAAGTGACTGGCAAGCTTTAAAATACCATATAAATGTTAACTCTTATTATTACTATTTATTAAATGACTTGCCCTAGGTCACCTGGTAGCCGGCAAACTTAGGGTTTGAACCTAGGTCCTCTACCCTCATAAGCCAATAACACTCTTTCTACCTTGTCTGGTGGAAAGTGGACTTGGAGGAAGGAAAGAGAGAACACTGTTGCTTGACATTGCTAAGCCTCAGTTTCCTCATCTGTAAAATAAGGGGCTTAAACTTGATGACTTCTCTGGTCCATTGCAGCTCTAAATATATTATCCTATAATCCTATCTGCTTGGTCTGAGTTTCACCTCTCTTAAAGGCTGAGGACACCCTAGGAAAGTTTCATGGTAACTAAACATAGGCCAAGTAAAGAGGCTCTGTTCCTAATCAGCTGCCTGACTAGACGCGAGTCACTTGGCCTCCCAGGCCATCTTTGAAAGGAAGG